TTCTCAGGAGCAGGCAGCTCAAGTCATGCTCTAGAAGAAGGCAGAGAGAGTAAGCGAAGCATACTCACTTGGATTTGCTTGGTTTTAATGCTATAGATGACAGGGTTCATAAAAGGAGGGAAAAGGAAGTAGACGTAGCTCATTGTGATGTGGACCATGTGAGGAATGTGTTTCCTGAACCTATGAATGAATGTCAGCCCCACCACAGTGATGTAGAAGACCAGGATGCAACAGATGTGGGACACACACGTGTTGAGGGCCTTGACCCTTTCCACTCTAGAAGCAATGCCCATGACTGTCCTCAGAATCAAAACATAGGAGAAAAAGATGACGAAGAAGTCCAGCAGTCCCATTGTAAATACGACCGCCACTGGATAGAGACGATTGAACGTGATGTCGGCACAGGCTAGCTTGATGACATCTTGGTGTAGACAGAATGCGTGGGAGAGCACGTGGGATCGACAGTAGGGAAACCAGTGCAGGCGAATGATTATTGGCATGATTGACAGGCCAGCCCTCGTCAATACTCCCACTGCAATCTTCATGACCCTGGTGTCAGTGAGGATGGAGGTGTATCTTAGGGGTTTGCAGATGGCAATGAAACGGTCATAGGCCATGGCCAGCAAGACCCCTGACTCCACGATAGAGAGGGTGTGGATAAAGTAGGCCTGAGCAAAGCAGGCTGCATGGCCAATCTCCCTGTGATTAGACCACAGAACCCTGAGCACGGTGGGCATTGTGGTCAATGTCACTCCAAGATCTGTAGCTGCCAACATGGCTAAGAAATAGTACATGGGCTCGTGGAGGTTATGGTCTTCTCTAATGAGAAAGAGGAGGGTGCCATTGCCAAGGATTATGGAGACGTAGGCCGCCAACAGGAGGAGGGATATCCAGTGATATGACTCCTCCATGCTTGGGAATCCAGTAAGTAGGAATGAAGTGGTAGTGGTGTTGAGCCACATTGCTAGTGTTGCAAGGAAGAAATAATATATTCAGGTGATGCAGTAGTTGTTCTGAAGCAGCCTTGTGGGAATATTATCTGCATGTAGGACGTTAACTAGGTCTGCCTCCAGCAATAACAGTGGCATTAATTTAGTCATTTCCTAAAGATTAAAAGGTATAAAAAAAGGATATATAAGGAACAGTTGGGCATAACATGCAGAATATACTCTATATAATTTAATTGAGGATAAGTAGATAGAGATCAACATGTCCATAGCAAACTTTGTAGACATGTTTTAAGTCTGAGAATTCAGTAAAATATGATAAAACTTCATTTCAATAATGGCAAAATTATGTTGGAACTTACTGTTTATTTTCATGATGCTCCTTGATGCGACTGGTAGAGTACAAGGTAGCTGAAAATGTTTCCAGGATAATTCCTAGATATAGAATATCAGTAGCAAAGAGATTCAAACAGTTTTGGAAGAGCAGGTATAATATCTTAATGCAAAATAATTAAACACATAATTTAAATTGATAAATACATTTAAAAGACAAGTATGTTCAGAGATTGACCTCTGTTCAATATGTTTAGAAAAAAAGTTCAGTTGAGTTAAATATCTAGAGACTTTGACATGCTACAAAATGGCATAAGACTTTGAGCTATGCAGCCCCCAAAACGTAAATCTCTATTACACAGCATTGTCAGAGCCTGGTTTTGATGCATTGATTTAAAAACATATTAAACTTTCTAACATAGATACAAAGGTGAACAATGAAAATAATTTTATGAGAAGCACTTGAAGGCAGTATTTGATAATACCACTAGACCAAGTACTACTGCACATCATCTATTCGAGAAAATAAAAATACAATTGGATCATTTAGATAAGCTCAAAGAAGACAGATTTTAGAATCTTCAGACCCTAAAAGATATTGAACAACTAAGAAGACTGAATCTTATTAGCATTTAGTGAAATAATCTGTGTAGGCTGGAAAGGCCTGGGAATTAATAAAATGTGTGTTGGTGACACTAACCAGAGGAAAGAGGGCCACCTTCTATCCAGACTGTTATGAACTGTCCACCTCACATGCATAGCACAAACTCCTCTTCTTGCTGAAGAAAAATATCTGCAAGTTACTGCACTTCACTATTCAGAAGAACTCTGTTGAAATTGCAGTTCTGCTACTTTCTAAAAATGGTGAACACAGAAAAGTAAATTATTCTTGGCATTCCTGTTTTTACCTGCAAACGTACTAGTGATTTTTGCCTTACATAACCATGGATTTGACACAGATATGCTGAAGAGGAGGCTGAGGAAAGAACAGAAACGCCGAAGAGGAGATGTTTCATCGAGACAAAAGTCATCTCTGTGTCGGAGTTTTTGTTGTTGTTAGAGATCGCAGTGGATATCACTCAGGATAATTCACCCTGAGGTGTGTCCAATGATCCAGCGTGCTTATAGAGGCTCTGAAACAGAAATAGAATGATGATTCAGTTGTGATAATGCTGTATCTGGGTGACAAAAGGAACCACTAGGAGAGGAGTGAGTGCGAGAACTTCTGACATAGCTGAAAAAGACAGTGGAGCTGTAGCCTTTAGATGGAAGGAGGTAAGGGGGAAACATACTGGTTCTTCGAGGATGTGAAAAGGTTGGATCACTAACTCCTGCCCGTGTATGTATGGCTCAGAAAATACTCTGATTCTATGAGGAGAAAGAAGCCATAGTGGCAAATGTACATTGTATACATCTGACCTGACTAATGTGATATTCTGAAACAGGAATCCATTGTAAAATGACTACCATCATCATGGTAATTTTATATCCATCATCTCAGAAGGTTATTTTTTTGGAGTGAAGAGTTCCTCTTTAAAAATTTCAAATATACCTTAACAGTGCTAGGATGACATAATGCAAATCATTCATCTAGGTAATTGAGTTCTATTAATACCAAATAAAGCTGCAGCAAATTAATAGTGAGGGGTAAAAAGAAATAGGAAAGGCCAGACAAAAGGGGAAGACAACAGTGGGTAGCAGCTTTAATGAACAAATCGTTGTGGGGCTTCCATCATGTGTCAGTGTAGTGGAATATTGTCCACACTTCATTTCTTTTATAGAATCCATATAACTTATTCCTGCCATTTTATAAATCCATAGTGATTAGACACAAAGGTGATCTGTGACTAGCATTCCAGAGTCTTTTTTTTTTTGGCAGAACCGGGGATTGAACTCAGGTTCTTGTGCTTGCCAGGGAAGCGCTTATTCCACTGAGCCATCTCCTCAGCCCCGAAAATTTATTTTTATTTTTTTTGCAGAAGCAGGGATTGAACTCAAGCCCTTGTGCTTGCCAGGGAAGCACTTATTCCACTGATCCATCTCTCTGGCCCCCCAGAGTCTTTTTTAATCCAAGAAGACTATAGTCACAGCTGAAATTTTTAATGCAGTCTAAATTTCTGCCTCTTCTGTTTTCATACTGAAAAACCAAATGTTTTGGCTGCTTGGCCCAGAGCTGCGTTTGTGATATGTGTGGTTATCTGCGAGCTCTGAAGAGTTAAAACTCTGATCTTTGCCCAGTGCTTGGAGCTTCTTCGGCAGGGCAGTGTAGCATTAGTCACCAGAGGCTAATTCCCAAAGGCCCCCACTCGGCTACACATTCTGAGGACTCACAGCACGGTCAGGTGAGATGTTCACCTTTTCCATAGTCTCTCAACCTCATTTCCTCTGCTTTCCTGGCACTCTCATCTCTATCACAAGCTCACAATGCCTCCTCCGTTTTCATCTCCAAGGCTTTGTTCCATGCCCCTCCACAGGATCAGACAAATCTGTGACTCCCACAGCCATTTCTCTAGATGGCTGTCAGTGGTTCCATCCTTGATGGTTGGCACAGTGTTTACCACATGATTTGTATGTTTCCTGAGATGCAGTGAGGAGTTTGCTCATACAAACTCATTTGCTTCCTGCCCTACCTCCCTTTCTTTAAGCTCGTTCTGAAATTATCAAAACACACATTGAAACGTACACACTCCCTGCTAGGCGATTCACTCTGAGGTATAAATGTGAATCTGTAGAACTAGGGAAGGCACTGAGGCTTCTTATAATAGATACGGGGCCAGGGATAGAGCTCACCTGCATGAGTACCTGCATGGCAAGTGCAAGATCCTGACTTTGACTCCTGGTAGAAAGCAAAACAAATCATCAACAACAAAACAATTTCTGGGTCCCTTATAAAGGATATGGAAAGAAAGCCTCTACTTTATTTATGGTTCTAGAAATACTATATGCCTGTTTGCTGCTGTGAATTTTTTGAGGTGCTGATGCCACACACTTATATGAACTACTCACCTTGATCTAGAGACACATACAACCCAGGCTTCATCCAAGCTCACATCTGAATAACCTTATCGGTCTCATGATCAGTTAGTGGCCTTCCTATAGAAAGTCTGTGAACCTCTACAATGTCTGAGCCATTTGAAAAGATTAAACTCTAGAAGCTTATCTAGAAATCCAGGGAGCTCCTATTCATGAGAGAAATCAGCAGACTGGAGCGCTCATCAAAATGTTTAACGTTCAGTCAAGAAGAGAGAAGGAAAGAAAACACACAATCTCATCTCCACCTCCCTGCTTGTTCCCATGTGCTTATCTGCCTCATGTGTTCCTGAATCTATTCTTAATCTTATTTTAGTCTTAAGAAGACCCAGTCCTGAGAGAAGTCATCTATGAGAGATTTCAGAGTGTCTGTAACATCCATGACTATTACCCGCATTTCTCTTGTTGAGAAATTTGCTATCTATTCCCTACCTTGCTCTGCACTAGTGCCTGCAGGGGCACATCAGAAAAAAACTTATGCTATAACTTCACTCACCTTAAATTGTGTTCTTCTCCATTATCCATTGCCATGGTCATGAATTTTGGGTCTTTAGCCTTAAGAAAGGCTCAATATAACACAATCTTTTAAGAATCTGCAAAAAACCTGGGTGGTGGGACTATTTATTTGAGAATCAGCTCCCAAGGTACAATTCTGAAATAGGCCACTCATTGCTCCCCCTTGCCTAAACCCTCCTCCCCCTGACTCCATTGCTGCTTATTTTCACTCTGTGCCTCGGGAGTTTAGAAATTTTAGCTGCAGTCCCCAAAGTCTATGCCTCAGCTTTGGCTTCAGCACTGTTGCCAGCACAGTGATTTATATCTACAAGACATGGAAGCAACAATAGGTCAGTTAGTGGACTGAGCTGTAGCAAAATTCTTGGGGGAGTCCTTTCCTCAGGGGTCATTAAGAAATTGTATTCTTCATTCTTAACATAAGGGATATGTGAAAATTGGAGGAGAGCAGGGCATCAGATTTATCTCACAACAATTTTTATCCCCTGCTAAATAAATGCATGACTGTGAGCTCAGAGCCCTGACTCATATCATTCAGTTTTGGGAAAGGAGAACTACCATTTCCAGTCCATGGATCCCCCTTTTCCTCTTCTGTACATTCTCCCTTCTCATTTCCTCCAGCCACATCAAGACAAGACAGGAGCCAGAGACATTTCTCAATTAAGCTGTGCGTAAGATATAAAGGACAGAAATCATAGTGCCAATGGCCTAGAGCTCGTTTTACTTACTCTTCCATTTACCTTCATAGATAACTTACAACTTAGCTATGTGTAAGAAGAGCTTGAGTGATAGAACTTGAGTACTTTGTAGCTCTGGTTGTTGCTGTGCCACTTTGGTAAAGTTTATTTGACCTAATTTTGCCTCATGGTCTTAATAATGTGTGTAGCAAATGCCAGCGCAACATGTTGCTACGTTAATGTGTAGGACACTTAGAATAGTGCTCATCATTTAGTAAATAATTAATGTGAACTATAGCTTCATTTATCATAATCAATTTTATTTTACTTATTTGTGTTCCTTAATATTATCCCTCATGTCACAGAAAGCAAGTTGAGAAATAGACTTCCTCTTTTAAGATTTAATAATGCATAGACAGCCAATATTAAATCATGGAATCAATGTCATCTTTGCCAAATTTGTCCTGGAAATAGATGATGGCACAATTTAATGATATTTTCTGGCTAATAGAATTTTGTATTTTTAGATCCAAATTTATTTTTCAAAAGAATTAGTCTTCCTAACAATGACCTTTTCTTTTATTGTATACTGCATGTTAGTAACTGATATGCACGTAAAGGATATGCAGAGAAACACAAAAACACATCCCTCCATCATTGTGCAAAGTAGATGTAAATTAATTCAAACATAAATATAATTTATTAAATTTAATTATTGATACAATGAAGACAAATAGTATTGAGGAAGTGTATTAAAGATTTATCAGAATGTCATTCAATAAGAATTTTTTATTTATTAAAACTTTTATGGAGACCCAGTCCTAGCCCAGGCCGGATGACATGGTATTTTACTTGGAAGACCCAAAAAACTCCACCAA